GGCGGGGGGGGGGGCGGCGGCAGCCTGTGGCTCCCGCCCCCTGCCATGCTGCTCCCCTCCATGTCCCCATGGGACAAGTGTGGTGGACGTCGTCCCTGCTCCAGGTGTCCCAGCAGCTCGTCTGAGCCCTGGGGGGGGGAGGGAGCTGGTGGCCTGGCTGGCCGACACAGCAGGGGCCGGGACCGGGGAGGTTTTGCCTTGGGGGACTGGGTAGTGATGACCACCTTGTCACGCAGCAGCTCTGGGTGGGATGGCCCTGGCACAGGCAGGACAGTGACAGTGGTGGTGACCTGGCCGGGACACAAGGGCTGCATGGGGGGAGCTCCAGACTTGGCCGTTGCTGGTGGGTCCTGCCTTCCATGCTGGCACAGGGGCTGCACACCGGAGACCTGCCCAGGAGGTGGCAAAAGGGGACCTGGTGTGGGCTGGGGGTGTCGAGGTGCCCGACGGGGGTGACTCAGTGTTGGCGGTGCTGTCCCTGCAGCCCAGCACAGGCGGTGGGTGCCACCCCGGCCCCCTCGGTGCGTGGGAGCTGTGTGGGTGCTGCTCCTCACCTGCATGAGGTGACAGCTCAGCACTTGGCTGAGTGAGGGGAGTGAAGGGAACCGTCCCAGCAACAACTCAACACCTCTCAGGGCAGCCCCAGAGAACAAGCCAAACCTCTCTCTTCCCCCCCTGCTCATGTGTGCTGCCCCTGCCCAACTCAGCACAGACCCCCCAGCTCCTCAAGGGGTGTTTGGGGGAGGCTGTGCCCTATTAGGGGCCGTGCAACAGGACCCAATGGACCCCCCCACACCAGGACCAGGGTCTCAGTGGGTGTCTCACGGCCCCACAGCAGCCTGAGTTCAGCCCTTCGCCGTGAGGTTGACTCGCACCAGTCCCACACGCAGGGGAAGGGAAAAGCTCGGCTGCTTGGGGACCACGGCGTAGTTTTGTGGCCTGTCTCACCTCTCCCGGGCATGGGGACAGATGGGCACACAGGACGGGAACGGAGCCCGTCCCAGCAGCAACTCAGCACCTCTCAGGGCAGCCCCAGAGAACAAGCCAAACCTCTCTCTTCCCCCCCTGCTCATGTGTGCTGCCCCTGCCCAACTCAGCACAGACCCCCCAGCTCCTCAAGGGGTGTTTGGGGGAGGCTGTGCCCTATTAGGGGCCGTGCAACAGGACCCAATGGACCCCCCCACACCAGGACCAGGGTCTCAGTGGGTGTCTCACGGCCCCACAGCAGCCCGAGTTCAGCCCTTCGCCGTGAGGTTGACTCGCACCAGTCCCACACGCAGGGGAAGGGAAAAGCTCGGCTGCTTGGGGACCACGGCGTAGTTTTGTGGCCTGTCTCACCTCTCCCGGGCATGGGGACAGATGGGCACACAGGACGGGAACGGAGCCCTGCGCCCAGGAGTCTGCGATGCAGGGCTCGGGCTCCTCATCCTCCCGCCAGGCACCGTCTCCCTCGAGGTTCTTCTCCCCCTCATCCCGCGCCAGGAAGCGCCACTGGGCGATCTGCAGGATGGCGTCCCGTGCCTGGCCCACGGTGAAGGGCACGCACTGCGGGCAGAGCCAGCGCTGAGCTCCCCGCTCGGCACCCTGCATCCTCGGCCCTGTCCCATGCCACAGAGCAGGGGCTGCGAGGGACCCACACTCACCCCAAGTGCCCAGATCCCCCCAAAAGCAGTGTCTAGGTGTGCTCACCTGCTGAGCCGCGTAGGCTTTGGAGCACTCATCCATCACGCGTCCCAAGAGCTCCGCGAGGATGTCCCCGACGTCCTCATCCCTCTGTTCAGCCCTGAGCAGGCAGAGCCATTCTGCTTCGGGCAGGCGCCCGGGGACGATGTCAGCTCGGACGGCAGCAACGGTGGGCGGCCGGGACTTCTCCCCACGTGACTTGGAGGTGGCCGCCCGCTCCCGGGGCGTCATTTTCTGCAGGGAGACATGACAACCCTTGAAGCTCCTGCCTCTCCACACAGCACCTGCAGCCCAAGGCCAGGTAAAGCTAGAATGGCCCCAGGACCGTGATGTTCCTGGGATGGGTACAGCCCACAGTTGCTGTCAGCTCGAGAGGGACGAGAGACAAGATCCCCCTCGCACGTGGCCCCGGGGGTTTCAGCTTTCCCAGGCCCCTGGCAGCAACACCAGGGTACAAGGGGAGCAGGGAGACCCTCCATGTCCCTTCCCATGGTGGGGGCATCTCTGACATGGCATCCCAGTGCTCCCCATGACACCTCAGCTCTTCCCAGCACACTCTGATATACACCAGTACATCCCAATACGCCCCAGTATGCCCTATACACCCCAGCTCATCCCAGTACACCCCAGCACATCCGAGCACACTCCAATATACCCCTGCACATCCCAGCACACCCCAATGTAGGCCAGCTCATCCCAGTACACCTCAATATACCACAGTACCCCCCAACCCACCCCAATATACCTAAGCCCCAGCTCATCCTAGTACACCCCAGTACATCCCAATACACACAAGCACGCCCCAGTACACCCTAGCACACCCCAATACACCCCCCGCCCCCCCCTCCCCCCCCCCAAGCCCCCCCACTTAGCCACACCCCAATACACTCCACTACACCCCAGCACATCCCAATACACCCCAGCACCTCCCAGTACACCCCAGCATGCCCCAGTACACCCTGATATGCCCCACTACATCCCAATACACTCCAATGCCCCAGTACACCCTGATATGCCCCACTACACCCCAATACAAGCCAGCACCTCCCACTACACCCCAGCAAACCCCAATATGCCCCAGTGCATCCCAATACACCCCAGCACATCCCTGTACACCCCAGCATGCCCCAGCGCGCTCCAGCACACCCTGATACACACCAGCAAACCCCAACTCACCACACCCCAGTCACCCCAGCAACACCCCAGTACACCCCAGCTCACCCCAACTCCTCCAAACCCACCCCCGGCCC